TGGTAGGATGCTTATATAGCCATTGCAAGATTCTAAATTCAAACCCTTGTCCTGACAAAATAAAAATAATAAAATCCCAATTCTGCCATAATGAGACAAATTAGTTTGCTCAAAAATGCTTGCTAGACAAGAATCAGCATGTTTTGTAATAAGCATAGAATTCATCTTTAAATTCTACAACTCAAATTCTTTGACAGTAAAATCCTGTCATGTCAAAACCAAATATCACAGAGTTTTTTTAAAAAAGTATTTTTAAAGTTACTATATAATAAAAAGATTTGGAAACTTCGAGAAAGTTATGTCATTCCCATGCCTTCCCTCAGAAAACCCCACTTATGTAACCCCTCCAGTGTGGATCTAGGCAATCTCAGAGCAATTCTATGTAATAATACAAGAGCTCATTCTTACTTTTGGGAGCACAAAGTACTCAGAAGTAATAATATTTTTACTCTCACATCTCAACTGACTTGCCTCACACCTCACTCTATAAACTATTGAGTTTACATATAAAACCTTAAAATCTATACCAAGAGTTGAGGAGAGCCTTCTAGACTTAATAATAAAATACAGGGTAGTATGCAATTTAGTCCGCATGTAACTGCACAGTGTATGCAGTAAACATTAAGCAGAATCAGTATTCAAATAATGATTCTAAGACACTAAAAACCAATTAAACTAACCTGGGCAAGGTGATGCATACCTATAATCCCAACACTTGGGAGGCTGAGGCATTGAGGTATCTAGTTTGAGGCCAGTCTGGAGTACATAGTGAGTTTTGAGATAAGACTGAGCTACATGATAAGACCCTATCCCCCCCAAACACACACACACACACACACACACACACACACACACACACACACACACACAAAGTGACATGTAGGATATTCCACTTAAATTAAGAGAATAACAAAACTTTTTAGGTTGTGCTATTTCAAACCACAACTTTCATGTCTTCAGAAAATTCACTGATTCAGAATGATATTACCCAAAGTGCCTAGATGACCATCAACCCTAGTAACTTTCATTTCTCCCTCAAAGCAAGAGGAATTTAAAATTTAAATGGCATACGAAATTAGATGTTTCAGCCTTCTAAAACACATTTACTACAAGAGCCATCAGCACTAAATCCAATAATTTGTGTTCAAACTTTAATATTACACTTTTCATACTCAATTTAATACACAGATGACATAAACTTCATATTTGCTAGCAGTGGTAGGGAACAATATTTACATTTTTTTAAAAGGTAACAAAGACTTTAGTAACACTTCCTTAGCAAAAAAAGTAAACAATGTTTCCATATAAATTTGATATAAGTGTAAAAAGAATGTCAAAAGTACTGAAGAAATATAATTCACAGAAAGTGTAATCCTACTTGGGCAAGAGAAATGAGCTGGGTAGCATTCAGAGTTCAAGGCTGAGGGAAATTGTTTTCTCAATAAAATGTTGAATTCAAAACACCAAACATCAGACACAATCAACTAAAACAATTTAGAGAAACAGTCAATTAGAGATTCGTTATGTATGAAGTTATTCTTTATATATGTAAAACTCTTTAGCTTCATGATATCTCCCAACTTAAGAGTTGAAATGAGGGGCTGGGAAGGTAGCTCAGTGGTAGAGTGCTTGCCTTGCATGCATGAAGCCCTGGGTTCGATTCCTTAGCATCATATAAGCAGAAAAAGCTGGAAGTGGCGCTGTGGCTCAAGTGGTAGAGCTCTAGCCTTGAGCTGAAGAGCTAAGGGACAGTGCCCAGGCCCAGAGTTCAGGCCCCACGACTGACAAAAAAAAAAAAAAAAAAAGAGTTGAAATGAATCTAATAAGATAAACAGGAGCAATTATATTGAGGTATTTTTAACTCATTATTAAGAATGTCTTATTCTCTAGGTCTTTTCTTCTCATACCCTACATATGTCATTTTGCTTTAACTTGGAAAAGTGATAAAAGTTCTCTTTAAAAGGAAATTCATTTTAGTAACTTCCTGTCCACAAGAGGGCTCCAATATTTCTTCCATGAGTAGAAAGAGCTATAACAAAAATTACAATTAAAATATATTCTAATATTAAGTACACAACATATACTGGGGGAAAAAAAGATGTATTGTTCTCTTATTTAACCCTAGACTAAAAAATTCCTATATCTCTAACAATTTCAACGTGCTTTGTTTTGTTTTAAGATTCGGTGCTTTTAGCTGGTTTAGCAACTGAAATCTTTGCCATTGTTCTCACACAATTTCTTAGGTAGTAGTTTCCAACCTAATCAGTGTCATAAAGTATAATTTTAGCCCAAAGCTCTAAGTGGTATCCCAAATGTTGTATAAAATACTTTTTAAAATATAAGACTTTATTTTTATAACTTTCCCAGTCCAGAAAGTAAAATTACTGCCTTAGCTACCCAGTCTTAAATATCTTCATGCAAACTACAGTTATTAGCATAACTTGATTCCTGTGGATTATACAAAATGAGACCCCTTAAACACAAAAATGTATCAATTGCTTAAAAATAAAATTGCAATGTGAGAAATGTGAGGTCTATTTATGAAACAAAACCTGGATGCTAAAATATTGATTTTAAAGTGAGTCATAAGCATTGCCATCAAATTGCATCAAAAACAGCAATTGATTTAACAATTACTGTAACTCTTGAAAGAATATCACTAATGAAAACATGACAGATTATAACTTCACCACCCTACCCTATTCTCCTGGACAGGATTTTCCAACAAGCACCATTAAAATGTAAAAGAGCATTACATTTGTTTCTAAATATCTCAAAGGAGCTTTCAGCCCACAGAAAGCTTAACATTGTACAACTCTGCAAAATGTATGCATTTGTACATGCAAGTTAAAAAGACGGTAACAGCTCACACCCTCATCACTTTAGAGTTTACAGTGAGGGAAATGTTAATTTCTGAAAAGATGTGGGGGTGGTGAGATTAGCTTTTCAAATTCAAAGTGCTAAATTGTTCATGAATATAAACTCAAATTAACTCAATTATTGTCATGGGAAGTTTAACAAATATAAAACATTAATCAACTTCTAGCCAATGTTTAGTATATTATTTTCAAAAAGTTAAGGTTTCTTAAGGCACATATCAAATGAAGACATTTGTAAGGCAAAAAAAAATGTAATGCAAGTAAATAGTAAATAAAGGTTTAAAAAAGGCAAACAACAATCTTAACTTCCAGTAAGTTAAACATGAAACACCAAAAACATCCAAAACAAACTGACATACCTCAATACCCACTGTGAAATAGCATCATTGGGGTATTATATGTTTATTACATAATACTGCTTTGCCCTTGCATATCACCTTTAATCAAGGGATCTCAAAGCACCACAGAATCAAGGCCCTAACATAGTCTAAGACAAATAATAGCCAGATTTTATAATTGCAGCTATTAATAAAGCCTTGCCCCTACTTCCCAGTCCCCAGATCCCAGCACAGCTTCCAAACCCTTCCTCTCACTTAAAAAGGGTATTCCCCAAATCATCTCAATTTGCTACTGATGCTAGTACTTTCTAGCTTTTCTTCTTCCTTCGGCCTAAAGCAACGACTGGCACTGTTTTAATGACACAAATCTATTCCATTACAACTTCTGTGACAGGATAAATGGTACTCCGGTGACCTGCACTGTGCATGAGGATAGAAAATGGAGGCGATAGCAAATCTTTGCCAGAGGCGATTGAGCCCACAGATCAGATCACTCATCAAGCACGGGAAATGCTATTTCCCAGCTCTGTCTAGAGACCTCTCCAGGCAACTTGAAGAGCAGTGTGAAGGCAACCATGTCAGTCAGCTACTCTACCGGGCAGGGGACTATTGTCCAGGGTGTGGGGGGGGGGGGGGTAAGAAAACTCAGGTGCCAAGAGTAGGTGGCTATGTAGTGCATTAAATGGAAAAGCAAACATAAGCAAAAATGTCTTTAAACCAAGGTCATGTAATTTTCTTTTAATCTGTAAAGGTTTCTTCCTACAAAAATAGATGACTAAAATAATTTTAATCATTGGTAAAATTTAATTGTATGGTTTTTTTTCCCCTGGAATCTACAAGCATTCAAATGCCAACCGTGGGAGCATAATCACATTAACTGCAATTCTTTCACAAGCAGGATTATTCCTGTTCTTGTTTTCTGCATCCTGTGTCCTTAGGACTGCAAAGTGGAATCTACACGCCCACAAACGCACCCCCAGCCCTGACAGCCTGCACCATAACTGTTAAGTCAACCTACTCAAAACCTTAACCTTCCGAAACCAAAGGAAAAGCGTCAATAATCGGTATTTTTTTTTGTTTCAAGTTCTCAGCACTGAGTGATCAAGGCTTAATAAATGTTTCATTCCCTTTAAAAAGTCTAAAATGTAACGTGGGTCAAATATTTGTTACTAAGAAGCCCTGATCGCAGTGCCAACTCCAGTCAGCCTAGGTTGGTGAAAAGTCTGAACATCTTTAATGTTTCATTCGTCCCCCTTGTTCATCCAGATACTTCCGAAAGCTCACAGCAAATTCGACTCCACTGTTCCCTAACAAGGTGGGAATCGCTGTTCTTGGAAACTGTCAAGTCCGAATCCACTACATTTATGATCGCCTCTGGGTCACTGAGTAAGAGTCCCCGGTCCCAGTCTACCGACGTCTCCAGAACGACGCCTGTCCTCGCTCTGCTATCACTGACGTTTTCTGAAGCGTTAAAATGCAAGTGCTCAGAGGCTTCCAGCCAAATGCGGAGCAATTTCCTCCCCCTTGGGGCCCTAGCAACATTTCCCGACTTCTCCATTGCCTTTGAACACTTCGAAACCCCAACCAGACGAGAAAAGTGGGTTATTAAAAACAGTACTTTATAAAAGGGGGAAACCAGAAGTGTCAACTTCTCCAAATCTCCCTGCACGGTGGCTTTTTGTCGGACCGTGTCCGGCAAATCGCCCCGCGCCGGCGTCCTTGCCGATGAAAGATTAGAAACCACAATTAAATCAGTGTCATCACTTATCATACATACACTTACCATATCCGCCGGGACATTACTGGACATCTTGCCGGTTTGATAGAGACCCGATGGGTGACGCCGAAAACACACACACACACACACGATCAGAAAGTCTTCAAGTTTTCGAAATTAAAAAAAAAATCTTCACAATCCTGATTGGTTCGAGATGTGCTTTCCAAAACAATTTAGAAAAATGAAGTTATTTCGGAGCTCAAGTGTCCGCCTGGCCCAGGTTCTTGTGCGAAGAACAATCCCCAGGAGCCCAGTGGCCGGAGCGAGGAAACTCTCAGGACAGCCGGCAGCCCGTGTCCCCGTCGTCGTTGTCGTCGTCGTCGTCGTCGTCAGTAGCAGCAGCAGCAGCAGCCCCAGGACCGGCCGCGCCAGGTGGACGGAGCCGAGTGACACACGGACATGGAGCGGGGTGGGAGGGGGTTAAATCCGCCTTCCTCCTTTCCCAGCCCCGGCAATGATTCACACTCGTTCCCGAGTCAAGTCCTCATTAAGCAGGAGAAAAAATGCCCCGGCGTGGATGTAGACAGATAACTATGTGGCCACACATGGACGCGTGAGCGGTGAGTGGCCGCCGAGCTGGGGCCGGCGCCGGCCGCGCAGAGCCGCGAGCCCGGCCG